AATGAGCTAACAGTTGAGTGAAATTTCTCGAACAAGCGACACGAATGAGTCGCTGATGTCGTTGCTTTCACGTGTGTTAAACCGCAACTGTACACCAAATCACTCGCGGGCAATAAAACGGACACTTGTCATAACTGCAATAAAAAGACCAAAGTGGCATGAATATATCATTGAATTAAGCCGATAAATGTTTCATGGACAAAAAGCATACTCGCGTAAATGTTCCTCGCGTGCATCACCCGCAGATCCACACCTCGTAACGTAAACTACGCGCACGTAAAAACAGCGGACAAGAAAAGTCATTCGGCACACCATCAGTCGAACATCCAAACTATCAAGCATCACCGCCTCATGGGTACCCCATGCTTTTACGACCCCGCAATGTCTCGCACTTGTGTGCCTATACGGACGATGTCACAGGTGTATACCAGTCGTCTGCCGTGGCACACGGGAAATTTTACACTTCCTCGATGCACGCCGTTCGAGAATGACACCGTGGGGTTCCCATTTTCGGCTACGTTTTGTTTACCCGATGCTTTAAGAGCTGCTGGTGTGGCGCCTCTCTCTCTGTTTTCACTTGATTTCCCGCGGTAAGAAACCCAAGGCTCGTACGTACAGTCAGACGCAACAGCGCGACTTTTGTGACGTTTATAGTCGGTTTGTCAAAAAAAATGCCAGTGTCAGTGAAAATCAATCCGCTTCTATCATTGCAACATTAATAAGCCAACTTGCATACATATACAACAAGCAACATTAACACCCATAGAGCTGGACTCTGCAGCGACTCGATCGCAATTACATCGGCCGCCAACATTAGTTTTTCTTTTCCTCTTTTCCGTGTAGGTAGTCTTCTTTGAAGCGGAAATCAAACAGCAACTTGCCCGTTCTGTAGGTATATACGCTTGGATGAGTTTTAATCGTTCCTCTAATGGCTCGCGTGTAGCAGAGCTCACCCCATCCCCGAAGTATGTACTTTAGACGTCACAGTGGTATCATTTAGGTGCGTCGTGATATGCTAATGTAGAGGTACGTGTACGCGTTATAGACCTACCGGCTGCAGTCAGTCATGTGTTCGCCAATGTACTCTTTTGCTCATACCTGTAGGTATTTAGTGAAGAAAAATAGAGCTATGATGCAGTAACTACAGAAGAGAGAGAGAGAGAGAGTTGTAGAGTCTTCAATACCTGTATTGTATGATTCTTGTTCCTTTTGGTTGCGAGTAGTGTACTATTATTACACGTCTTTAGTGCGAGTGGCTATCGCGCGTAAGTTTACATTTTCGATGAGGATATACTATTATTACTACGAGGTAGAAAAGTAAAAAACAACAATGGTTATAAAAATAAGTGAGGGTTCGTGGTATTTCAAAACCTAGCCAGGAAGGAAGTCGAGGAAGATCGATACAATTAGTCAATCGGATCGTACCCCATTCAGCCGAATGACTTTGACCATCAGCATCCACCCACGTTTCGTGATAGGCTGCACTTACACTTTCGGTGAACAGGTCTCAGCTCAAAAGCAAACGATTGTCATTACCTCGGGGTTTTTTCATTCGACAGCCGACCTCACAGCCAGCTCCTTCACCGCGGACAACATCAGCCGCAATCGCACATCGAAGCGCGAGACCTAATTGTTTTAATAATCCATCGAGGATGAGCCACGATTAGACTTTTAAAGCAGCTGAGCGTCAACGCGAACGATCCACGCATTTTATATCTACGTAGCCCATGTGGCGAGAAGAAAAAAATGTTTGTAAAACATGTATCGGGTAATAAAGATCACGAATGCCTCGACGCACCTCGGCGGAATCTCATTCACCCATTTTCGCTCGTCGCCATTAAGATCATCCTCCGCTCCGAGGCACTGTCTGTATAATATACTAACGCTACCTATGCCCATCTCTCTCGCCTCTCGATGCTTATGAAAAGGAGGGGGGNCATAATTTTATATTTATTTATATATTTATTCTCTTTCTATAAGACAGTACAGAACACATAATACTTATAAATCTTTATGATTTGATTTTGGACAGTTTTACCTAGAAACAATGAGTGAATGATATAATTTGTTAATTTCTAATACAAACAGACGTCAACTATCCCAGAATTATACAATTCCAATTATTTCACCAGAGATGGATTGTGTATATTTTTGTTACAAAAAATGAATACTTTTGTTGATAACTAAAAAAAATAAAATTACATGTATCGATAACCTTTTTTTCTTACAAGGAGCTAAAACTTGGAAAAAGTATTTTTTTCTCTCTGTAGACATGTTCAATCATGTGTTTTTATGCACTTTAATAAAAAAAAACAAAAAGAAAAAAATACAATGCTTGTGTATATTTCCTTATGTCTTTTAATAACATATTACACGCGATTATTAGTGCCAACACTTGAATTTTTAGTTACAACTTTTTTTCTATCTGCTTTATCAAATAAAGGATTCAAACAATAACATCGCTCTATTAATAAAAAAACAATTTTTTAATCATAAAACAATATAAGCATCGATTGCACGTACTTCGTTTTTATAAAAAGATCATTTCTAATTTTCTAGTTACATCATCAACGATGGTACACTTTGTCATTATACTAGTTTACTTTCTACAAATTTATATTACTTTACAAATATATGATGTCACCATTACAACTCGCTTACGCCAATACTTTTAAAGCACTCACCAGTTTTTAAACAATTACCCACACACATGATGCTATCAGATTTTAATTTACACATTTTTGCTCGCAGACTCTTATTGATCACATCTAAGGTATGAGTTATTGAACATCATGATTTTGTAATTGTGAATACCGGTTGTAAAATAAGAATCAAGTTATATCCATTTTAAATTTATTATTTTGTATTAATATAAAACTTTAATTATTAAAAATCCAGTTACAGGTAAATTGTTAAAAGAGTTAAAAATCTATGAAAGTAAGTTTTGAATAATATACATATAGATTTAACTTTTTCAAAAGTACTGTTCTGCATATATTAAGAGAAAAAAATTTTTGTCTCTTATCACGAGTAATAATAATATGATGATTAAAAGTAATAAGGATTAATATTGTATCAGAGATTCAATTCACAAAATTGACAAGAAAACGACGCTTACACAATATTTTGTTTCGGAGTGGTTGAAACATTGTACAACTTTTACTGTACAACTTATCATATTCTATAATTCATACCGTTATAAGATTTGGTATATATTGTCGGGGAAAAAGATGCACTCACTTCCATTCTGTACAAATATTTTGTCTTTTACACCATCAATTTTATTAATGTAACATAAAGCTTCGACGCGGAGTTCGTTATCTTCTTTTTCGAAGGCTTATACTACGTATTATTTACAAAATACATATTTCACTAGCCTGAGGATTCATTTACAAAATCTAATTATGTTATTTTTCGGTGATTTTCTTTTAAAGTTCAAAATTTTCTTCTCAATAGTCATTAATGATGATCAAATGGCAAAGTTTTTACAATTAAATGGTCTTTACAATGTTAGAAAATAGTTTGAATCACTAAGGATTCTTTTCATTTTTATGTTATATTTATAATAATAAAAAATATTAAATGATTCAATGGAATTTAATTTTTACTTGATAATCATGTGTTTTTTTTATAATGATTAAATTTCATAACTTTCACAATTATACCATCTTATTCTTATTGTAATGTCCCAAACAAAATTTCTTTTATTATTTCAGACAAGCTTATAAAAAAATACATGTTAAGTTGTATTAATTCATATTTCAGTAAGTATAATGATTATTTACACAATAAAAAGATATTACACGGTCAAGTAAAATTATTTAGTGTTGTAATTCGTGCTAAAAATAAAGTTCAAAACTAATTGTAAGTACCTGACAGTTTCAATTGGCCATTGTGCATTTAATTTTATTAAAACTTATTGGAGAACCGTTTTTCAAATTTTAATTTAAAAATCATTACAATGTATGTACATGTTATAATTCGTTTAAGTCATACTTCACTTTTTCAATTATTGTGTTTGGAAAATGAGATTTTTAACAACATTAAAATTCCAATAACATACAAATTTATCATGTAAATCATGTCATATACATTTATTAATTACATTAAAGAAGCTCAAAACAAAGAAAGAAAAGTCTTAAAGTATAAATCGGAATATGAAAATAGGCTAGATTTACATTTTTATATCGCACAGTAATTTGTTCAATCTACATTATTGTTTTACATTGAAGTGTTTATTGATATGTACACTGACGAATATTTATATTTTTGGCGTTTACACAATGTCATTCTTCTGTAGCGTTTTCTTTTACAGGTGATGTGAAATCAATAACAATTACTGATCTCATATTTATCTGAATTTTTTTTTTTTTTTTTTTTTGATAAAACCAATAAAAAAAAAAATTTAACGTTATAAATCATTTTAGAAGTTTTTACAAAACACTGTAGAAGAAAGCTTACATTTGATCACGTGATTCTGTTGGCGTGATTCGAAAAATGAAAAGTATATGTTTAATTGTTCGACTTTTTGTTGAAAAAAAAAAAAAAAAATCTTCATCACCTTATACATAACGTTGTAACACTTTTCTTATTTTTCATGCCAGTTTTTAATTTTTTAAGAAAAAATTGCAATTGCAAAAAAATGTTGTATCACTTGTATTTCAACGTTTCACCTGGCTAATATTTTATTAACGCTGTTTTCAGGTAATTTTCTTCATTTGTTTTGTTTTTACCATCTTCGTAATTTTTTATTGTTAAGATAGGTACAAGAAATCCTCGCTATAATTATTTTTGTCACGTTGATACTTATTTCAGTTTGAATTCTCGCTGTACACGATTTTTCTTGTAATTGACTTATGCTGGCAATGATATTTTACATGTAAAGATTCAGAAAGATATTAGGATCATTGAAATGTAATTTCATTGCTATACGTAATTAAGTGTATGGAAACGTAACCTGAAGTAGGCAGGATATTTAAAATCTAAAATAAGACAAAATTGATCCAACTCCAAGTAAAGAAGTCATATAAAAGAACTTGACACCTCTCGTATGGTGTAAGTTTGCAAGGTAAAATTTGACAAAATGTAATAGTTTATATTATGGTTACTACCATCCGTATGGCAACACCAAAACAATGGTGTTCAAGTAGTCTTCAAGAACTACAAGAAAAAATTGTTTTTTCCTTAAAAATATTCTAAATTTAAAAACTACTTGAACCTCCCTGTTTTAGAATCGTCATTTTGATGATAACATCACTATTGGCGAATATATTATTCCTTGTATTACTTCATAATAACAACACCGTACGAGAGACATAAAGTCTTTTTTGTTGATGTTTCTGATACATTTGTAAAACTTCTTTCTTTACATCTCTGAAGACATATCTTAAGACTTCTTTAGTTGGAGAAGAGTACTAAAACTGTATGATGCAATAAGTATATTTTTCTGAACTCGTCACTTAGTCTTGATACAAACTTTGTGTCCACACTTTTGACACTTCATACGTCACTACGAGTTATCATAATTCAATTTTAAAAGTACATTGGCAGTTTTCATCACTGATCACTGTGTCTTAATGTCTTTGAATTCTGACAACCCTGACTCCCCCTTACTCAGTGTAGATTAATGGCAAAGTTAAGATTATAAGTGCCGAGTTCCATAGGCTGCAATGAAATTTCCTGAAGTCCATCCTTCAACTGTTTTTGAAATCTAGTACCTGTCAGCGAAGTTTTCGTCACATTAGGGGCGTACAGTTTGTAAAACATTGTATCAGGCGACAGCTTATCATATAGAGGGCAGTGTTTGATCGAAATATCTGTACCGGCGGCACAGCTGTATCCTTGCCGGTGCAGCACCATCAAAGCATTGTTGATCGGATAATGTGGCATTTTTGGATCATGATTCGTTCTGAGATTCAATAAATGCATATCACAAGGCATACTGTTACTTAAAAGTCTTGTTTCTGGAGCCAGTTTGATCTCACTTTCCGTTCCGTCAACCACAAAAATATTTACAGGGTAGTTCAAAGCGTTGCTCAAGTGGTTCGCAAAGAGAGATGGCTTAGAATATCGATCCTTCTCCCCTACGATGTCTTCCAGTAGTAGCCAGTTTTTGAAAACTGTTTTCCGATTATCCAATAATCCCTCGCCCATACCCCTCGAATCGTCATACAACGTCCTTCGATCCAACATAACCTCTAGCCAGCCTGGCTGATAACTCGCTGCTCCTTGTGCGTGATTCACAAGAAGTGTTAGCCTGTGTGATGAATCTTCAATATAAGCCATCGTTGTGATAGGAAAGTAATTACCTTCGATACCTATCCTTTCAATTTTCGTACGTTTTATCATTTGATGACCATTTAAATCTGAATAAAACTCTGGTGGATCGCCATTTACAATGTCCGTTTGAATACGCATAAACATTTCCGTCTCACGGTTCTTTGGTGGAGTCTCGAAATCCACAATATTTCGAATATGTATTGCCTCGGATAATGTACCTTCTTGGTGGTATATGGCTACATGGTGAGCCAACAGTTTTCCATACTCCACAGTAAGACGAGAACTCAACGCACCAGAAATAATGTATATTTTTTGATGAGGCGTGTATACCTCCAAGATATCTTTGTCAGTGTCACGAAGATTGGGATCTGGCATAAAGAGATACGCACCACTATGAAATTGGGCTGACGTGTAAGCGTCAAATTGAATATTACACTGCATGATCTTTCCACTGGGCTTCTTCGTGACTCGCTTAAGAAAACCACTTTGGCCATCGAACAATAGTTTCATCCGCTGGTTCTCTAATTGAACGTCACCTATTTGCATGGGTTTGATTGGAAATACATTATCTTTGCCACATCTCGTACAATAAACCGTGGAAATGGCTTCTGCTGGTACCCTATCGATTTGCTGAAGGTAGTACACAGCTATCGTCAGTGGCTTCAAATCAGCAGCAAACAACAAAACATAAACGTCGTGCGTGATGCTCGTTGCATTCATCACTGGGGCAATTTGATAGGGAATGGGATTCTTGTGGGAATCGAGAACTCTTACGCGGTATGTTAAAGTCTTTACAGTGATAATTTCTCGTCTTGGTTGCGCAAGAGAATTAAAAAGAACGATCCTTTTCGTTTCTCGATTATTGATGTTGATAGGGATCTTTTTAGGAAGCTTTTCGTAGCTGTCTCGATCAGACTCTGAAAGGACATACACTTGTCCTGATGTAGAATTGGCCTTGGTTTCCGTAGCAGCTAACGATTGGATAGCAAAACTCTGCAAACCCGTCATGTCCGATATGGACTCAAAGAGTTTCAGAGCATAGTCTTTCATGACGAAGGACTTGGACGTCCCTGTGATTGCGTCATGGTGTTGGAATAACCCCAGATTTCGCCGTGCCTTAACTAACCTTTCGAAATACGTTTCATACATTTTGATGTCTTTGGCTGATTGCTTGGCAACGTTCAATGCTATCGTGTACAAAATTTCAGCAGATCGAAGATTTGCTTCCAATTCCCGATCTAGGATTTTCATGTAAGGTCGAGTAGTAAAGTAACCACTCCAATAAGCAGGTCTACCTTCACTGAATATATCTGAATAAACAAAGAAATCGCCCTTAAGGGTTGGAAAATGCGCCATCCGTTTTTGAATTTCATTAAAATAATCCTTAGGAGTACCGAATATCACTTCGGCATTGTATTCGTCCTTACGGCTATTTATGTAGTCAACCAGTATTTTATAATTTGTGTACTGTTGGTCCCATTCGATTGGATGGTCGTACCTGCAATATAAAACACATTTAGTTTTGACAGCAAATAGTATTGTTAAAAAAAAAAAAAAAAAATGAATAAAAGTAAATATTCACCTAAAATCATCACCCAACGGTATAACAACAACGTTGTGCAGGAATAACGAACCAGTTTTGAAGTATTGCTCGAGCAACTGTTCAGCCATGGCTTTGACATTATTCGACGTGATGTCCACGGCCTTAGCTGAATACTCGGTGTATTCATTACGAATTTTCCGGAAATCGTAATTTAGGCATACGTGTGGGTGTGGACCACATGAATGTTTGATGTTGTAAATATCAAAGGGTTGGTTGTGCGTAAGCATGTCAGAAGCACCGCTCTGATCCCATGGTTGAACCCAGAAGAAGTCACCGTACTGCTTTTTGGCAAACCACTGCTTCCAGGCGTAGTGGATACGCTGAATTATTGTACCGGAGGCGCCCGTAGATTTTAGCAAGTATGGCATTGTACTTCCGTGACCGAAAGGATCGACAGACCAACCGGTTTCTGGTATCACATCGAGATTTGTCTTCAACCATTGATGACCTGTAAATATCGAACAGAATTAGTAATTTTATAAAATTATTAAAGAATATATTGAAATTCTTTTTTTCTATTTGCAAAAAAAAATCCTTTAAAACAATTAAGATTTTTACATGATAAAAAGTATTTATGAGTAGTTAATTATTATTACTTGTTTTCAAAACTGATTTGAAAAATACACCACTTTGTAACTACTTGTACTTAATATAAATTTTAAAGTTCTTTTTTTATCTCTTCTGAAGCTTTGTTTGGACAAAAGATTGGTAAGTTATCGATGTTAAGACTATCTATTAAATTGTTCCCTTTCATTTTAACGAATCATGTAATAAACTAATATCAGCGAGACTATTTTACTTATAAAGTTAATGTATTGTAATAATTGTTCCCTACAGTAACATGAACGTAAAGCAACTGGAACAATACCACTAATTAACACCTTGTCAGACTGACAAGTGAATCATAAAAAAAAAGTAATCGTGCAAAAACATTTCAATCTCGAGGTGGTTCTCCTTAGAAATGAGTAAAGACGACAACGAGAAGGGCTGACAACTAGTTGAACAAGACATCAGCATTAGTTTGGAAACTCCTCGACTCTACATTATAGCCACGGCAAGGCAGAGAGAGAGAGACTCATTAAGCGTCCGTCGGCTGCATGCCATCGACAGAGCTTTAATTAGAGGCTCCGGAAAGTTGGTAATTACAAGAAGACACAGCTTCCCCTCCAGTTCCATTTTGCACCCCCGACTCTTTCCCTTTTTTTAATCCCAAAGCTTATTGGCTATATTTCCAAAGTCGAGCGAGTGAAGAGCCACGGGCGAAGCTTTTAATTTGAGCAAACAATTAATTACTGACAGCGATACCTTGTAAACAGCTTACAATAACAGCTGCTGGCCGACCCCCGACCCCGTTGAGTCGACGCGCGAAACGCCAGTCACGTAGAAGTGATTAAAAACTTGCGCCCACCGTGGTATAAGCTCATTAACGACGAAAAGGGGCAAGTGGACGATGACGCCAGAGTTTTCCGGGCAACGGCTTGCTTTTTCCGTTGCCAAAGGACCTGTTTCGCATGTTTTTTTTAATCAGCGGCTCTTTTGTTCCTTTTATACGATACTGGGAGCGATACCGTTATTAGAGATAATAATCGTCGCTAATTACCGCGGTGGCGTAATTGATGTTTTGAGTTTTAAGATGACTATGGAAGTTCAACTACTGGGGGAAATGGACCCTTTTTGGTACCCTCCAAGTGTGTATAATAGAAAAAAGACAGAGCTCGAGAATTTATGGATCCACCGCTAATGTCTCCTCATTTTTTTTAGACGAAGGGATTTAAGATTCTATTATCATATTTTATGAGCGAGTGTCAAGTAGCAAGTGGCTGATAGTTATCTGAGTGTTCTGGGACAGAAAATTCCTCCCCGTCACGTACCAATTTTGAAGTTAGGTAAGTGACGTACGAGCTTAGGGACACTTTGTTTCCCAGCTGTCAGCTAAGTAGGTTAGTCCGAATACATCGGTCGAATCGATTCAATTTCTATTCGCAAACTCAAGAGCAAAACGGCTCTAATGCGTCAGTTGGGATGACGTGACATATTTGCTCGATCCGCGTTAGACTGATGAAACGAATTTATGCCTCCATGGATGAATTACAGATTACTCGGTCGTAATCTTATATAAATCTCTTGGGCAAAGTATAAACTAGAGGAACTTTTCGGTTGCAGATTGTATATTTGAATAAAGACTTTGAAACGTTTTTTCAATGGTGATTTTATACACTACTTTTAGTAACACGTAAAAAGTATATGAGTCTCTTGAGGGATGCCTCTCAGTATGACAGGAGTTGTAACGATTTTGAAACCAGGTGTAATTTTTATTATGTCCGGGAAAGAATTATCGTTTCTTCGGTGTACATTATGTACCACTTAGATTTAGCAATAATTATTAAAATACTTAAAAAAAGATTTTTCACAATATTTTTATGGGTTTATTAGACATTCATACTTCTGTATTACTTTTTGTAACACTTCTTGTGGAAACCGTTAACAAGCCCTTCTATCTTTATTATTTTTATTTCAATGAGTTATAGAAATAATCGAGCTTTTGAGAATAAATCTTTTACAAAATAATGATTATTCAAAGAAACCTGCGCATGACCTCGGATTTAGCCTCAAAATAGGATTCTACTTTATCTACTTAACCTATAAATTCTCTCAGTTATAGGTTAATTAAGGATGGTAAATGAGGGAGTCAGTATGGTGACTTTTCTCTTTTATACTTTTTATGGAATCGGATTTTCTCCAGCCATCGTTCTTCTAAACTAATATTATTGTCACAACAGTATTTTTTAACGTATAGCAATCTATAACTCACTATTACGAGCCAACAGTTATATCATTCAATAAACCTACCAGCCATTGTAAGAGCTAATCCACCCACAAGCTTTTATTTATCTCTTGCTTTTAAATCTTAACTACGTACTTTAATTTATTTTTTTCATTGGAAGGTCGAAATACTCATACCCATGGATAGGATTAATGAGTACAGTGCGTTGCTATTTTTTTATGAAATGATATAATATTCCATGAGAGCAACAAATTTAGAAGAAGGAATTGTATTAAAATTCCGATGAATAGTATGCTACCCTCCAAGTTGGAAAGACTTAGGGGATCGTGGGTTTGAAACTTTTCGAAAAATATCAAGATATTTTCTCAGGCTTTTTCGATAGGGTGAGTACCAAGGATGCCGAAAGATATAAGATGATTAGTGAATTTTTTGTGGAAGATGTCTGAATCGCCAGGTGCTTCCTTTCTAAGGAAAATCAACACCTAGCCAGCTCGTCAGTACTCTCGCTATCAATTTGAAACGGTAAGTACAGTGAGGTTAATGGTTTGATCAGAGAGATTCTTCCATTAACCAGATACGGGCCTGGGTGTGCTAGAGGCTGTCGTTGAGTTCGGATTAGGGGCCCACACGAAGGACTCGCATACGTTGATGAAAGAGGGAGATTATTCGCTATGTAAATTTCTGCTAGCAACCCCTGATGGTTTCAAACGGGGCTAGCTCTCGGAAAGATCATATAGCTCTGTATATAAAGTAGGCAAAAACCGTACAACTCATTTCACTGAAATCTTAAAGTCAAAGGACACTTTTGACTAACAGTATAAGCAAGAGTTGTAGGTAAGTAAAAAAGGAGTTAATATAGTCACATTTGACAAGGATATATTCAGTTATTATAATTCCATGTGTGATGATTCATGTAACCACGAAAGTGCCTGCAGGACTTTCAACTGACATGCACTGCGCTTGCGCAGTAGGAGACAAAGAGAATGATACCTGTTATTTTACTCGTTCTACTATGTTATAATCACTCATAACACAACTATTATTGTTAATATTTTCATCAAATGCAGTTACATGGATTCCTTATTTTTTAATCTACAACTTTTGCGCACGTAACAGGTCAAAATAGTGTCAAGTTTTAAGGTCCAGGAGAAAAAAGTTAATCGTATACAGAATTTAGGCTTCAGTGTTCCGGGAGCTAACAATATTTTTGTCTCCATGAGCGCGTCGATCGATTTTCTTATCTCCTCTAAACCAACTTACATAGCGAATAGATAAAAAAAAGGATAAGATGGTAGAGGTAGGGATAAACGGAGCAATGGATGTACGTGAGATCGACGAATATAATATAACACAGAATTTATAAATTCTTATAGCCATCTATGATGATGACAAAGAAAAATTGCTCAATGACAGAGATTTCTTTTTAAAATTTTTTTCCAAGCAAGATGGACAGTCCAAAAAATCTATGCTCAATGGATGCTTGTACCAAATATGGATAGTATACGTGTCGGTCTTGATCGGATATACATATTTTTCAATTCGATGTATGTTTTGTTTATTTATTGTTATCACAAGTTTTGTTCAATTGTATCGAGAACTCTGTATTAACCTCGAGTTTAAAGAAACTATCCAAGCACACAAATGCCGTAGATGCATGATTCAATTCCTTCATATCAAGGATTCCTAATTATGCTGAATAAAGGCTCAAATAATTTCATCCCCGTGTGCGACAATACCTTATTCTCAGTGAAATTAGTAAAATCTTCCACGCGATTAATAATCCAAGCTATTTTCCCATTTCTTCGTCTCTATCTCCAGGCCCTTCGTCATACCATTCAACGCGTATGCACATGCAAACACTCTCGCGTGGGCCACGAAGCGTCTTCTCGATGTCCCAAGTTGTAATCGTTCTTCCATGAACTTTCGCGGGTTCCGGCTTGATCCACAAATTAAAAGTTACCATCACCGCTTCAGCGCGCCACCGTAGCTTTTCCATCCACCTAATCTCCTTCTGCCTCATTCCCGTCTTTTCCATCTACCTCGTATACCATTATACACACTTAGACACCATGGCAATTTCGGTACACGAATCGGCACTTTCGCATCACTTATTGTTATTATCATCTCTACTTTTGCTCCTCTTTCCTCTTGTTCGTCGCGGCTTCACGCGCAAGACAGCCCTTTATAAATTTCAGCCAGTGTATGAGGTTTCTTCTAAAAGGCATTTAGATCGGTCGGGTGAGAGAGGGCTATATAGCATATAACATATATGTGCGGATATGACGATGGAGGAAAGGATTTACTCAAAGAGATAACGCAGCAGCGGAAAGTTTTCACAGTTGGGACTTAATGAACGGCCATGGCTTTAACAGACTTTGGCTTTAAAACCCTCAAATTATAATTTATTGCCGTAAAACTTTCGGTCGCGGATCTTTATTGGAGCATGATTGTTGTTGACTCGTATGAATATACCTATAAAATTTCAATTACGAATTCACGTGAAACTAAATTATCGAGTGGTCACTTGGATTATTTTCATCAACGTTCTATACGTAATTACCACCTTTTAGTACATGTTTCGTGATAAATTATCCATCACTACGAGCCGTGCTTGTACAATTGAATCGAACGCCTTGTAATTAGGACAGGGTTTTACGTGATTA